CTGTTCTGGGAAAAGTTTGACTACGGTTTGTCCATGTGTTATTTGTCTCCCCAACTCCGCCTGCAGGACCCGAACCAAGGTTATCTTCGCGCCCCCTCGGGGCCCCTGACCGACAACCCAAGCACGGTGGCGGGACGGGCCGAAAGCCACCACTAGATCCGCCGCCCCCTGGTGATCATCAGAGGGGTGCCTGGCGTGCTGGATGTCTAAAAAAGGCTGTGATGTTGCTCTGCAGAGCTCCTATGTGGGCGTCGGCCGATCCTGCCCTCCACCCGGAAAGATCTCCCAGAGGTGGTCGGCGAGGCCTTTTCCATTCTAGATGGGCCTCCGGCGGATTAGTCTTTCAGTCCCAGCGATTTGCCCTCTGGCGTCGGGGAATGGGGGCTGCTTCCAGGCCATGGGCCGACCAGCGAAGGATCCAGGACGAAGAAACGCGTCACCCATGGAAGGACGGGAGGGAGGCAGGATCGGTCAGCATCGAATCGCGAGATCGGCGCTGAGCGGAGCGCGCGTCGAAACGGGCCGCATCGGAACGAGAGTCGAAATCGAACCGACTTGGCTGCGCCAGGACGCAAACAGCACCATGCAAGGTCGGATCATAAGAAAATCAAAATGAAACGGGTAAAGAAGGTCGAGTTCGGTATTGAAGCGGGTCAATCGAATCGAAATGGGCTCTGGGTGGCGTCGGCCACCAGAAAGCAACGGAACGACAAGTAGAGGCCAGAAATACCACCCTGAGAATGAGAGCACCCGCACTAGCGAAGCCCGTTGAGTAACCGCACCTGAGGGGGGAGTCGAGCAGGGCAGGACTGGTGAGTAAACGCCCAGGACTGTCGAGTAGACGCCAAGTATGGGGGTCGGGGGTGGTGTTCCCTCCCTTGAAAAGTGTAGCGTAAGACGCTATGGGATACACCGAACCGCGTCGCATCGCATTGAATCGCTCCGCCTTGTACCACCGAGGACCCCCGCAGACGCTGGTTGGAGTGCATGGCAAGCCACAGCGCGCATGCACGCAAATTCCAGCACTCGAACACAGACACGTCTTGCGGACCACCCTCCCCAAAGCGCCCAGGAGAAGACCATGACACCCCTCCGCCAGGCCTCCCCCCCCCACCGAAGCAACCCAACGGGACTCCCAGACCCCTCCCCCCTCCGCCGCCCCAACGATCAAACTCAGGACTCGCACACGCACCCCCTGGCCCAGCCGGTGCCACTGGCGGCGCGGACCCTGCCGCGCTGCCAAGAGTCCTCGCACCCTCCTACCGTCATCGCCCGGCTCATGTCATCCAGTTGCCTGCGGCGGCGGGCCCAAGGGAGGTGGCCTTCGAAGGGCGGGGGGCATTCTTGGAAGCCACTCTGGCCTCTATAAAGGGGCCCCAGGACACACAAATAAATACACACAAACAAAAATAGTTTCCATATTTTCCTATATTTTCTGAGTTGTTGTCTTCCCCCCCACTTCCCATATTTTGACCTAACAGCGTTTGCTGATAGGTTTCTAGTAGGCTCAAAAGAGAGCATCATGACTCCTCAGGGGGGTCTGGGCGGGTGCCGGGGAGGAGAACCGGGAATCGTTTTTCGCCAACAGTCACACACTTCGTGCTCTTCGACCTCCCAGAACTCCATTCCCGGGACACATTCTGGAGAACCGGGAACAGAGCCGGGCTCGCTTTTCGCCAACAGTCACACACTTCGTGCTCTTCGACCTCCCAGAACTCCCTTCCCGGGCCACATTCTGAATGCCCGGAGCCAACTGTAGGCCACTTCGTGCTCTTCAAGTTCCCAGAACTCCATTCCCGGGCCACATTTTGGATGCCCGGAGCCAACTGTAGGCCACTTCGTGTTCTTCTAGTTCCCAGAACTCCATTCCCGGGCCACATTTTGGATGTCCGGAGCCAACTGTAGGCCACTTCGTGCTCTTCGAGTTCCCAGAACTCCATTCCCGGGCCACATTTTGATGCTGATGCAGAGGCTGAGAATGGTGATGCTGATGCTGAGGCTGAGGCTGAGGCAGGCAAGCTGAGGCTGATGAGGCTGAGGCAGGCTGAGGCTGAGGCCGAGGCTGAAGGCAGGCTGAGGCAGACGCTGAGGCAGGCTGAGGCTGAGGCAGGCTGAGGCTGAGGCTGAGGCTGAGGCAGGCTGATGCTGAGGCAGGCTGAGGCTGAGGCTGAGGCTGAGGCTGAGGCAGGCTGAGGCTGAGGCAGGCTGAGGCTGAGGCTGAGGCTGAGGCGAGGCTGAAGGCAGACTGAGGCTGAGGCTGAAGCAGGCTGAGGCTGAGGCTGAGGCAGGCTGAGGCTGAGGAGGCAGGCTGAGGCTGAGGCTGAGGCTGAGGCAGGCTGAGGCTGAGGCAGGCTGAGGCTGAGGCTGAGGCTGATGCTGAGGCAGGCTGAGGCTGAGGCTGAGGCTGAGGCTGAGGCAGGCTGAGGCTGAGGCAGGCTGAGGCTGAGGCCGAGGCTGAAGGCAGACTGAGGCTGAGGCTGAAGCAGGCTGAGGCTGAGGCAGAGGCAGGCTGAGGCTGAGGCAGGCTGATGCTGAGGCAGGCTGAGGCTGAGGCTGAGGCTGATGCAGGCTGAGGCTGAGGCAGGCTGAGGCTGAGGCCGAGGCTGAAGGCAGACTGAGGCTGAGGCTGAAGCAGGCTGAGGCTGAGGCTGAGGCAGGCTGAGGCTGAGGCTGAAGCAGGCTGATACTGAGGCAGGCTGAGGCTGAGGCAGGCTGAGGCACAGAGGCTGAGGCTGAAGGCAGACTGAGGCTGAGGCTGAAGCAGGCTGAGGCTGAGGCTGAGGCAGGCTGAGGCTGAGGCTGAGGCAGGCTGATACTGAGGCAGGCTGAGGCTGTGACTGCGACTGCCGCTGCCGCTGCGACTGTCATCGCGAATGCGACTGCGACTGCGAGAACAGCAGAACTCTACAACTGGATTATCATCTGAATCTTAAGGGGAATGCTTCCATATATGCTTCTACACATCGCTGTTAGGTTGCTTTGCCGGGATAATTGCATATTTTCTGGGGGGTCGACGATTAATTGTGTCTGTTGTTTTGTTTCCCTCTTGATTCTAGGCAGCCTCCTCAGATGCCCCGCGCGCCCTCTCCACCAAGAGGTACGGATGCCGCTACCCCCCGGACCTCCCTCTCCCAAGGGGGGGCGTGCTGACCAGGATTTCGGAGCGAATCGGGCTGTGGCGACGAAGGCCTCCCAGGATAGGAAGGCACCAACTATACACCAACACCGATCCTGGCCAGGATAACCCTGGGCCCAGGATCGGTGTATACGCCCTCCTGCCTTGCGCAAGAAGGCATATACACCGATCCTGGGCCCAGCGTGATCCTGGGCCAGGATCAGTGTTGGTGTATAGTTGGTGCCCTCCGACAGGAGGCCGAACGAGGCGAATGGCGGCATCGGGACTCCGGAGGAACAAAAGAACATTCACATAAACTTTGGGCGCTCCGCGCGGATTTCTTGGATCCGCGCGGGGCGCCCCTCCCTGGCGCGCGAAGCGCGACAGGGGAGGCGCCGGAGGCGCCGGCAGGGGGGTCCCAGCACGGATCCGAGAAACCCGCGCGGAGCGCCCAAAAGTTAATGCTTGTTGCGAGGTTTCTTCTCCGATGCTCCGAGTTCCTCAGGAAGCGTGGGGTTAGAAAAAGATTCCAAAAATAGCCCCCAGATTATTTTTGATTATTTTTGAGAAGATTTTGGGGGGATCTTTTATTCATTTTTCATCGAAAATCCCCCTGTAGGGGGACAACCCCGACTTACGCGTGGGGTGCTGGATCGCGTGGGGGGTGCGGGGGTGGGCTGTCCTCCCCGCGGCGTGGAGGGCCAGAGATCGCCTGGTGGAGTGGGGTTCGGTGGGCGCAGGGGCGCTGGAGCGCGCCGGCGGGTGGGGCGGCGTGGCAGGGGGCGCGCACGAAGCAACCAAGGGCAACCTGGAACAACTGCGGGACGGGAAAATGACCACAGCCACTGCTTCTTGTTTGCGCCGCCTTCCAGCCGGCCGAAAAAGAAGCAGTGGTTGTGGTCATTACTCCGGTGCCAAGCTTAACGAAAATGACCACAACCACTGCTTCGTTTCTGCTGGCTGGAAGGCGGCAACAAAAGAAAAGCAGTGGCTGTGGTCGTTTTCACGCCCCGTAACAACGCACTGGCCGACTTGCGATGGGCGAGCTCAGATGCTGAAAAGTGTGCACAGAGACGCGGCGCGCTCAAGGTCAGAGCAGGAAGCTGGGGCAGATGCACGCACGCGCGTCTGCTCGTCAGCGCGGGCTCAAAACAAAGAGCTGTGGCACTCTCTGAAACAACCTGATCACCTTGGCCTTCTCTGATCTTCCTTGATCCTCCGAGGGCCGCACCTGCCGCGCCCCTGCACCCACATGCGTGCGCCGCCAACACCTATCGGCGATCAATGGGCGGTTGGCGGACGATCTCCCTGACCCTACCCCGCTCAATCATCCTCGTCGTCTGGTCTTCCTGGTCATAAATCGGGTCTCCAGCGGCCGCTCAAGACGATCTGGGCACCCCTGGGAACGCTCTCGGCGGGGCGCAGCTGCTGGGAAGCATCCCGAAGCTGGAAAACGGCCACCTCGAAACTCCAGGCATTCGCCCCCGCCTGAGCCCGTCCTCCCCTGACGTTGCCCGGGACCCTCGTGCGCGCCGCCAACCGCCTGGAGACGCTGCGCTGCAGCCGCACGTGCCGACCCTCGGGCGCGTCCCTCCACAGGAGGAACATTCAGAACTAGTCAACAAAAATAATCGGGGGACGATTTTTCTACTCAGTTTGATCATGTTCGAAGATTTTTAGGGTATGTTGTACTGTTCGTCCAAAATCCGCCTGTAGAGGGACATGCCCGACCTAAGTCTAGACCCTGCACTCTCGACCCAATTTGGCAACGTGGACCCCACATTCCTTCCCCGGGACCGGCTCTTCCCCGGTCTGGCTCCCCTTCTCGGGTCGGGCGAAAAGAGAGAAGGGGGGGTTGAGAATCAGCTCACGCAGCTGATTTTGCCGGCGCCTCCCGGCGCCCAGGTATCGAGGGATGGGCCCCTCCGTGGGGCCGAAACCAGCTGCACGCAGCAGATTTCGTAACCCCCCCTTTCCCAATCCCCCCCTTTCGCCCGGCCCGACTCTTCTGACGGTCCCAGGCCAAGTGAGGGCCCCTGGGGGCCGAGAGCGGCCCCGAGGCCTCCCATGGGGGGATAGGATCCCAGGGGGGGGATCCCATAGGTTCCCCTGGGGATCCCATGGGGGCGCAGGAGGGGATCCCATGGGGGGAATCCCCTCCTGCCCCCCCATGGGATCCCCCCCCATGGAGAGTCTCCCGATCCTCTCCTGACGGTCCCAGGCCAAGCGAGGGCCCCTGGGGGCCGAGAGCGGCCCCCGAGGCCTCCCGTCGTGCTGTTCCGAAGCGAGGGCCGCCCCCCTCGAGCCCCTCGAGCCCCTCCACGAACGCGCCGCCCACCGCCCGGGGACGCTGCGCTGACGTCGGGCGTGTCCCCCCCTACAGGGGGACTCTCGACGAAATAGAAGAGATACTCCAAATTAGCCTGGCGAAGGACCCAACCATATGCAGCTGCGAGTACCGCACGGATATGGGACGAAGGAGGGGGCACGCAACCTAGGCCCCTCTTCTCATAGGCACCGCGCCACTGGGGCCTTCGGTGGAGCTCCCTATGGGGCCACGAAACGTGTGAGGGGTGTGCCGAAATGGGTGGTGGGGAGGCACGCGGACCCTGCCACTGGGGCCTTCGGTGGAGCTCCCTATGGGGCCACGAAACGTGTGAGGGGTGTGCCGAAATGGGTGGTGGGGAGCCCACAGGGCCCACGGATGGAGCACCCAAATGGGGCCACGAAACGAATGAGGGGTGTGCCGAAATGGGGGGGTGGAACCGCATGCGAGCGCAGCCACTGGGGCGTTCGGTGGAGCTCCCTATGGGGCCACGAAACGTGTGAGGGGTGTGCGAAAAGGGTGGTGGGGGGGAGGCGAAACGCAGCCACTGGGTCTTCGGTGGAGCTCCCTATGGGGCCACGAAACGTATGAGGGGTGTGCCGAAATGGGTGTGCGGGACGCATGCGGGCACACCCACTGGGACCTTCGGTGGAGCGCCCTATGGGGCGACGAAACGTGTGAGGGGTGTGCCGAAATGGGTGTGCGGGACGCATGCGGGCACACCCACTGGGACCTTTGGTGGAGCTCCCTATGGGGCCACGAAACGTGTGTGGGGTGTGCCGAAATGGGTGTGCGGGACGCATGCGGGCACACCCACTGGGACCTTCGAGGAGCTCCCTATGGGCCCACCGAACGTGTGAGGGGTGTGCCGAAATGGTGAGGGGAGGCATGCAACGCGTCTCACTGGGGCCTTCTGTGGATATCCCCATGGGGCCACGAAACGTGTGAGGGTTGTGCCGAAATGGGTGGTGGGGAGGCATGCGGACCCTGCCACTGGGGCCTTCGGTGGAGCTCCCTATGGGGCCACGAAACGTGTGACATGTGTGCCGAAATGGGTGGTGGGAGGCATGCGGACCCTGCCACTAGGGCCTTCGGTGGAGCTCCCTATGGGGCCACGAAACGTGTGAGGGGTGTGCCGAAATGGGTGGTGGGGAGGCATGCGAACGCAGCCACTGGGGCCTTCGGTGGAGCTCCCTATGGGGCCACGAAGCGTGTGAGGGGTGTCCCGAAATGGGTGGTGGGGAGGCATGCGAACGCAGCCACTGGGGCCTTCGGTGGAGCTCTATATGGGGCCACGAAACGTGTGAAGGGTGTGCCGAAATGTGCGGCGGGGAGGCTTGCGAACGCAGCCACTGGGGCCTTCGGTGGAACTCCCTTTGGGGCCACGAAACGTGTGAGGGGTGTGCCGAAATGGGTGGTGGGGAGGCATGCGAACGCAGGAGGGAGGAGGGCGAGGAGAAGGAGGAAGAAGGAACGCGGGGACCGCTTCTTCAAAACGAGGACCCAACACCACAGGATGTTTGGGTAAAAAACTACAAAATTGTATTAAACTTAGCCTCGCGAAGGACCCAACCATATGCAGCTGCGAGTACCGCAAGGATACCAGTGTCAAGCTCCCCCCGACCTTCGGTGGAGATCCCTGTGGGGCCACGAAACGTGTGAGGGGTGTGCCGAAATGGGTGGTGGGGAGGCATGCGAACCCTGCCACTGGGGCCTTCGGTGGAGCTCCCTATGGGGCCACGAAACGAGTGAGGGGTGTGCCGAGATGGGTGGTGGGGAGGCATGCGAACCCTGCCACTGGGGCCTTCGGTGGAGCTCCCTATGGGGCCACGAAACGTGTGAGGGGTGTGCCAGAATGGGGGGTGGAACCGCATGCGGGCGCAGCCACTGGTGCCTTCGGTGGAGCTCCCTATGGGGCCACGAAACGTGTGAGGGGTGTGCCAGAATGGGGGGTGGAACCGCATGCGGGCGCAGCCACTGGGGCCTTCGGTGGAGCTCCCTATGGGGCCACGAAACGTGTGAGGGGTGTGCCAGAATGGGGGGTGGAACCGCATGCGGGCGCAGCCACTGGGGCCTTCGGTGGAGCTCCCTATGGGGCCTCGAAACGTGTGAGGGGTGTGCCGAAATGGGTGGTGGGGAGGCATGCGGACCCTGCCACTGGGGCCTTCGGTGGAGCTACCTATGGGGCCACGAAACGTGTGAGGGGTGTGCCGAAATGGGTGGTGGGGAGGCATGCGAACGCAGCCACTGGGGCCTTCGGTGGAGCTCCCTATTGGGCCACGAAACGTGTGAGGGGTGTGCCGAAATGGGTGGTGGGGAGGCATGCGAACGCAGCCACTGGGGCCTTCGGTGGAGCTCCGTATGGGGCCACGAAACGTGTGAGGGGTGTGCCGAAATGGATGGTGGGGAAGCATGCGAACGCAGCCACTGGGGCCTTCGGTGGAGCTCCCTATGGGGCCACGAAACGTGTGAGGGGTGTGCCGAAATGGGTGGTGGGGATGCATGCGAACGCAGCCACTGGGGCCTTCGGTGGAGCTCCCTATGGGGCCACGAAACGTGTGAGGGGTGTGCCGAAATGTGTGGTGGGGAGGCATGCGGACCCTGCCACTGGGGCCTTCGGTGGAGCTCCCTATGGGGCCACGAAACGTGTGAGGGGTGTGCCGAAATGGGTGGTGGGAGGCATGCGAACGCAGCCACTGGGGCCTTCGGTGGATCCCTCCCCCCCCCCCCCTCCCTATGGGGCCACGAAACGTGTGAGGGGTGTCCGAAATGGGTGTGGGCAGCCACTGGGGCCTTCGGTGGAGCTCCCTAGGGGTCCACGAAACTATGAGGGGTGTGCCCCGAACATGGTGGTGGGGAGGCATGCGAACGCAGCCACTGGGGTCTTCGTGGAGCTCCCTATGGGGCCACGGAACGTGTGAGGGGTGTGCCGAGATGGGTGGTGGGGAGGCGTGCTAACCCTGCCACTGGGGCCTTCGGTGGAGCTCCCTATGGGGCCACGAAACGTGTGAGGGGTGTGCCGAAATGGGTGGTGGGGAGGCATGCGAACCCTGCCACTGGGGCCTTCGGTGGAGCTGCCTATGGGGCCACGAAACGTGTGAAGGGTGTGCCGAAATGGGTGGTGGGGAGGCATGCGAACCCTGCCACTGGGGCCTTCGGTGGAGCTCCCAACGTGTGAGGGGTGTGCCGAAATGGGTGGTGGGGAGGCATGCGAACGCAGTCACTGGGGCCTTCGGTGGAGCTGCCTATGGGGCCACGAAACGTGTGAGGGGTGTCCCGAAATGAGTGGTGGGGAGGCATGCGAACGCAGGAGGGAGGAGGGCGAGGAGAAGGAGGAAGAAGGAACGCGGGGACCGTTTCTTCAAAACGAGGACCCAACACCACAGGATGGTTGGGAACAATATTGAAAAACAAAAAAATAAATGCTCAAAGAATAGTCTCCTGACTATCTTTTTACGATTTTTGAACGTTCCCCCTGCAGAGGGGCAGGCCCGACTCAACGCTACGCTCGGGCCCCCGGCGGCCGTTCCAACCAGTCCTGGCGAGCCTGGGAAGCTCTCGGCGGGGCGCAGCTGCTGGAAGAAGCATCCCGAGGCTTGGAAAGCCGCCGAGACGAGACGAAGACGCCTGGAAGCCTGGAGCCTCGTACGCTCGAACCCGGAGCCCATCCCCCTCCTGGCGCTGCCCCTGACCCCCACTCTGTCGTGGTCGCCGCCGTGGTCGGGCTCGGGGTCGTGGTCGTGGTCGTCGACGTTGTCGTCGTCGTCCTCCTCCTCGTCGTCGTCGTGGTCGTCGTCCTCGTCGTCGTCCTCGTCGTCAACGTCGTCGCCGTGGTCGTGGTCGTCGTCGTGGTCGTCGTCGTCGTGCGCGCCGCTAGCGCGCCTGGAGACGCTGCGCTGCAGCCGCAGGTGCCGCTCCTGCAGCTCGGCTCGCAGCTGCGCCTCCACCGCACCGAGGTGCGCCTCGAGGCGCTCCTCCAGCGCCGCGGCCTGCTCGGCGGAGGGGGGCACCGAGGTGGCCAGCTCTGCAGCGGTATTGACTACCTACCAGACCACCCCAACCCAACCCGAAGACCCGAATTTCGGGTTGGGGGGGTAAGGGTTCCACATGTGTTTTGTTCGATGTTTCCCGACTCCCCCCCACTGGAAATCGAGGGTAAATCTGAGCCTTCGGGTTGGGTTGGGGTGGTCTGGTGGGTGGTGAGGTATGCACTGCGCCCATCCTGCCATGTCTCCTCGCCTCTGGCTTCCGAGGCGCGACTTCGGGCCCCCCGGCCAGTCCAAAAAACGAATCTGCACGGGCCCGGCGCCGCGGCCCTCCCCAAAAGAGGCGGCGCCGGGGTGCGGACGCCGCCGCGGGCTGCCCGGGGGGGGCCTGTGGAGGCCGGCTGGGACTCCGCGGGGGGCCGCCCGCTGAGGCCGGCCGGGGCTGCGTGCCTCGGGTCGGGCGTGGGGGAGCCGCCGTCGTCCTCGCTGCCGCCGTCGTCGCCGTCGTGCTCCCTCTCCGCCTCTGCAGGGGGGGGGTGGGGGAGCTGGGAGGGCTTCTTAGAGAAGTGCCCTGGCGTCTGAGAAGGCGCGGGCCCTGTCCATACGCCGATGGGGGAAATCAAAAAAGGGACCGAGACCGCTGCTCCCCGGACCTCTCCCTGGGTGCGTCCTGACCAAGACTTCGAGGCGAGTCCAGCGGTGGCGACGAGGGCGTCCCAGGAGGACCCAAAAGGGGAAAACGAGAGAAAGGTATGGGTACCTTTCCCTCCTCTGGTAGATGTAGAGGGCGGCGCCCTCTGAGGAGCAGGCTCCTTCTGAGAAGCCGTCCCCCCGCCCCGCGCGCAGCCCGAAGCTTTGCCACGCCCCGCGAGGCCTTCGCCCTCTCCGCGCCCAGCGCGTCCCCCAGCAGCGACGTCTCGCGGGCGGCCGCGCCCAGCTCCTCGCGCAGCTGCTCGCGCAGCTGCTCGCGGAGGCCCGCGCTGGCCTCCCGCTGCGCCACCGCCGCCTCTGACCAGGGACCGATGATGGGCCAAGCCTCCACCACCACTAGCAGATGTAGGACGGGGGAGAAGGGAAAATAGTGAGGTCTTCCTCCTCCTCCTCTTTCTCCTCTTTCTCCTTCTTCTCCTCCTCCTCCTCCTCCTCCTCCTCCTCCTCCTCCTCCTCCTCCTCCTCCTCCTCCTCCTCCTCCTCCTCCTCCTCCTCCTCCTCCTCCTCCTCCTCCTCCTCCTCCTCCTCCTCCCTGTGGTAATGGTGGCGGGAAATCGGCCCATCAACCGACAGGCCCGGGACTCCTATGGGCCTATCACAAGCTGCCCTGAGAACCAACGAATGCTCGCAGAAGCAGATCAGCGCTCTCAGAGGCCAAGAAAAAGCCCCAAGAGCACTCCAAAGACAATCCCGAGAGGGTAAAACCAATGATGCTTCTCAAGTCTTTGAATGTTTTTCGCCGCCGACGCCGCCGCCGCCGTCGTCGTCGTCGTCGTCGTCGCCCCTTCAGGGTCGACGGCACCGGCCCTAACCCCTTCGCAATCAATGTTCTCAGAACCAAGCCAATGCCGTAAGACAAGACTGCCTGAGGCAGAACTGTCCCAAGAACATCTCATAGAAACCAAGAAAGGATACTCAAAGAGCATCTCACAGGAAACCATCGAAACCCAAGAAACCCAGGGCGCCCTGGAGGCAAGCAGGGTGCTTCTTGGCATGAGTTCCCCCTGTAGGTACCACGAACAGGTACTTAAAGCACTGCAGCCGGAGCGTATACGAGAGGACACGCGACAGCACACGAGACGTTTCCGACGGTAGCATGGCCTCCACCAACGACAGGACGGAAGGGTACCCTCAGTCCGAGCACGCAGAGCACATGAGAAGGGATGGACAGGACACACGAGTACCCTTGACTCTGCAGGGTCGGCCCGCCAATGCGCGCCGACTGTATCTGGTGAGCCTGCAGGCAGGACGGGATGCTCTGCCACTGCCGGGCGCCTCGCCGAGCGAGGCCAGCTGCCGCTCGGCGTCCTCCGCCCGGCGGCCGAGCTCGTCCAGCCGGCCCTCGTGGGCCCGCCTCACGAGCGCGACCTCGCGGAGCGCCGCGGCCGTCTCCTCCTCCTGGGCGCTCGCCCCGTGGGCGTCGCTTCGCCGATCGCTGCCCCCACTGGCGCGGCCCTGGCCCCACTGACCGACCGACTTGCCCACCCTGGTGGGGCTCGGAGCCCGCTCCCTCCGGGCCTCGCGGGGCACCTCCCCACCCGGGAGGGCGGACTGGTGGGGCCGAGGTGCCGTGGCCCAGTGGGGAGTTTGATGCCCGGACGCTTCGCTTCGGGGGGACGCGTCTTCATCGAAACGTGTGCTCCTGGGGGGTCTGGACTGAGAGGCGGTTGCACCGCCCTTGGAGGGGGGTCCCCGACGCGCCGTCAAACCCTCATTTGACACCCCCCCCCCCCCCTCAGTGAGAGACCTGGAGCAACTTATGCCCCAGACATCCGGCGCATCGGTAACCATCGAGGCGGCCAGCCTCCCCCTGCTTGGGCGCCTGGGGACCGGGCTCGGGCCCCGGGGCCGCCACAGGGGCGGTCGGGGCTGAGAAGCGGGCCGCGGCAGGGAAGGGGTCCAAAGGGAAGAGGTCCAGACCTCCGGGAGCCCACGCATCGAGAAAGCCGAGGCGCTGAGACATCGCGCCCCACGATGCGCTACGCGCGATGATCCTCGCGCCCGCGCCCTCCCCCCTCCCCCCACTGGGGAAGGGCACCCGCTCTGACGCAGACCGCGACGCGGGAAGCGCGGTTATCTTCGCACCCTGGGGGGCGACTTGGGCTATGTTATGCAGGTCGACGGTGAAGAGGAACGCGGGTGGACGATCACGACAGAGCTGTCTGCCGCCGGGCAACAAGTTCGCAGAGGATGACCAACGTAATTTCGACGACATCGACGACGACGACGGCGACGACGACGACGACGACGACGACGACGACCACGAGCAGGCCTGGAACGCAACTTGCGTATCATCACCCGTGGGCCCGCGAGGGCCCCGAAGGCCCGAAAACGACGCGGAACCTCAGGACCCGCCCCCCCCCGGGCGGCAGCAGGCCGGCGCCCCCGCGCGGTCCCCGTGCAGGAGCCGGTCGCCCTGCTGCGCCGCCCGCCGCCCGAGCTCGCAGGCGTGCCGCGCCTCGCGCAGCGCGCCCTGCTCCAGCTCGCCCCAGCGCCTGTCGAGGCCCTGTTCCTGGCGGGGGCGCGAGGGGGGGGGGGGCGACACAGAGGGGGCCCAGGGACGCACAAGCAAAAAAATCCACAAGAAACCTTCCACAAGAAACGCAACCCTGTGACCCCAGGACGTCCATTGATTGATCTCTGGTGTGGGAGCGTCACGCCTTCCATCGCAAGACCATCGCAGCCCAAGAAACCCAGAGCACCCTGGAGGCAAGCAGGGTGTTTCTTGGCATGGGTTTTCACTGTGGACACAAGTCCCAGAAGGTCCAATACGTCCTCACGTCCTCCTGCAAGCGGACGCTTCTTCATGCCTGCGGTTTTCTGCTGTCTTCCCCACCTGGGCGACGTCCTCGGAATCGGCACTCGATACCTTCGTGCGTTCTCGTCGGTTCTCAGCGAGTTTCCAGCCTCGAGATGCCTTCCACCGGCTGCGCCTCGTCGAAAAAATCCGGGGGGGCCAGATCGTCTCGAACGGCTGCCAAAGAGCCGCGGAGACGCGGTCGCGCGGATACGCGGTCTCGAACGGCTGCCAAGGCGAATGCATTCAACAGTGGCTCGCTCCATTCTTGAACTGTTGGCCAAACTTGAATTCACCACGGGATTGTGTCAACCTCCGCCTGCCCTGCCGTTTCCTGCAGACTGTATTGCCTCGCCGATCTTGGTAAGATGCTCCGAGATACTCGTATGATGCTGGAAATCCTTCCTCACATACTCCTACAAGCTATTGACCCGTTCCACGCAGTACAGATTACATGTTGTACTTTATCTGCAAGTTTGTGAATGCTTCGTCGTTGCCCAGACCTGGTACCCTGTGTGGCACTGCGCTCCAAGAATAACGTCGCGCCTTCGTGATTGGCTTTGAGCCCCGCGCTCACGAACCTGACATTCCCGTTCTCGTAGCCCGCGTTGCACAGCTCCGCGAACCAGTTGGTGCCCAGGTTGTACCAGGATTCGCGTACTTCAGGTATCGACACATCAGAATCAGAATCGTTGGTTTCGGGATTCGCGGGGGCAGCTGCACCTGCTGCCGCCGCCATCTCTGTTCCGGAACCCGTGGTGCGAACCCCAGCAGGGAGTTTTTCACGAGAAGACGTTCGCACATTAGCCAAAGTCGAAATGTCCGCAGAGGGCGTTGCCAGACACTTCCCATCATCATCGCCATCATCATCAGCATCATCATCGTCGTCATCACCATCATCATCGTCATCAGCAGCAGCATCCGCATCAGCATCATAATCATCATCACCACCACCACCAGCGTCATCATCATCATCAGAATCATCATCAGCAGCAGCAGCATCATCAGCATCGTTATCAGCAGCAGCAGCATCATCATCATCAGCATCATCATCGTCATCATCATCAGCATCATCATCATCAGCATCATCATCGTCATCATCATCATCAGCATCATCATCATCATCATCATCATCATCATCATCATCATCATCATCATCATCATCATCATCATCATCATCATCATCATCGCCATCATCATCAGCATCATCATCGTCGTCATCACAGTTATCATCAGCATCCGAATCAGCATCATAATCATCATCACCACCATCACCACCGTGATCATCATCATCATCATCATCATCATCAGCAGCAGCAGCAGCAGCAGTAGCATCATTATCAAAATAATATCATCATCAGCATCATCAGCATAAGCAGCATCAGCATATAATCATGTTAAGCATCATCATCAGCAGCAGCATCATCAACATCATCAGCATCATCAATAGCATCAGCATCATTATTAACAACAACAACAACAACAACAACAACAACAACAACAACAACAACAACAACAACAACAACATCATCAGCATCATAATCATCATCAGCAGCATCATCATCAGCATCATCATCATGAGCATCATCATCATCAGCATCATCATCCTTTTCTCATTGTAGGCACAGGCCGAGCCCGAGACGCCCGAGGCGTGGGAGGACGAGGGGGAGAACGAGGAGGGGAAGAACAAGTTGCATTCCCAGCCGAGAGCTTAAGGGGGCGTCCCCCTGAACACTAAAGACCCCATGGAACACCTCTTCCTCCTCTGGCTGCGGCGGTGGCAGCGCGATCGAATCGGATCGAGTCGGGCGAGATCGATATCGAGTCGGATTGGTCGAGCCCAAATGTGCCCACTTCCCCCTCCCGGCTGCGGCGGTGGCGGCGAGGTTCTGGCCGCCCGCGGCGGCTCCAGCTCGCCCCAGCGCCTGTCGAGCGCCTGGAGCTCCCTGTCCAGCCTGCCCTCCAGCTGGCCCGCCGCCGCCTGGACCCTAGCGTCCGCGGCGGCGTCCGCCTCCGCTTGGGAGGGGGGGAGCCAGGATCAGTCAGCAACGACTCGGCCCATCGGATCAAAGCGAAATGTGCATCGGATCGGGCTGCCTCGGCGCGGCATCGAAATCGAAGCGGACCGGCTGCGCCGGGCTGCACGACGGTACCGTGCAGGCATCGGGCCGCATCGGCTCGTCGGAACAGCGGAACCGAATCGGATCGGGCCCGCCAGAATTGGTGTCGAGTCGGATCGATCGGCTCGAAGTGGACCCCGGGGTGGCAGCGGGGGGAGGGCGGCGGCGGCGGAACGCGGCGTCAAATCGGCGCGGCCAGCGGTGGCCCCCCTCGATGGCGCAGGGCCCCCAGGAGGGAGCCCGAGGTGGAAGACGGAGGGGAGGGCGGAGGCTCGAGGGTATTATTCGAGGTGTCCGAGGCGCTCGAGGCTCGGGGGCTCGAGGGTAGTCGAGGTGTCCGGGGTGTCCGAGGTGCTCGACGAGGTATTCGAGGCATTCGAGGTCTTCGAGGTCCCCGAGGTTGTCGAGGTCTTCGAGGTCTTCGAGGTCCCCGAGGTTGTCGAGGGCTCGAGAGGAGCTGGGCGCCACCCCGGCGTCCGTCGCGCCTCGGGGAGGCCTCTCGTCGCAGCGGCGGGGTTCCCCCCCGAAGCCCCGCCCACAGCACACTCTCGCGGGACAGAGCCCGAGAACCAGTCTCCTGCGCTTGGGGTCCTGAGAAGAGGATCGCTGCGCGAGTGCGCCCCCGCGCCTTCCCCTGAGGCCTCCCCCTCCTCCTCCTCCTCTCCTTCTCCTCCTCCTCCTCCTCCTCCTCCTCCTCCTCCTTCCGCCTCCTCCTCCTCCTCCTCCTCTCCTCCTCCTCCTCCTCTCCTCCTCCTCTGCCTCCTCCTCCTCCTCCTCCTCCTCCTCCTCCCCTCCTCCTCCTCCTCCTCCTCCTCCTCCTCCTCCTCCTCCTCCTCCAAGCCCTCCTCCTCCTCCTCCTCCTCCTCCTCCTCCTCCTACTCCTACTCTGAGGCCCCCTCCTCTCCTCCTCTCCCCCTCCTGCTCGCGGGCCAGCTCGCGCCCCCGCGCCCCGGTCTTTGTCGCCCGGACGCGCCGTGGGGAGGGCCGCCCCGCGACGGACAACAGAAAAAGCCCCTTGGGCGGAGGAGCGCCGTCGGCGGGGGCGCTCCTCGGGCAGCGAGCGCGGAGCCGCCTGGGGGGGGCCTCGGCTCCGCCGCGGGGCGCACGAGGAGCGGCAGGAGAAGGCCCGCCGAGGCCATCGAGCCCGCCTCGGAGGCCATCGACGCGGGCAGTGCCTCGAAGAGGAGATGGAGGAGGGATCCCCGTCGCACGAGAGCACCCACCCGCAGGAGTGCCACTCGGGCCGAGGAGGAGGCAGGAGCAGGGAGGAGACGCAGGAGGGAGCGAGAAGGGAGGAGGAGGCTTGCCCAAGTGGTTCTTACTTGTTGTCGCCAGCCTTCTCCAGGGGTCCCTGGCACCGTTTCCTTAAAAGAGGAGTCCATTGCAAGAGTACTCCCTGGGGGGTCCGCGGTCGGTCTTGTTCCTGGCCTTCCTTCATCGGGTTCCCTGATCTTGTTCCTCGTTTGGGCTTCTCGGGTTCCCTGGTCTTGTTCCTTGCTTGGGTTGCTCGGGTTCCTCGGTTTTGTTCCCAGGGTTCCCCAAAATTTCCGGTCTTGTTCCGTGCTGCTTAGGTTCATCTGGGTCCCCAGTATTGTTACTGGGTTCCCCGGGATTGCAAAGCAAGGCCGAGCAATGCAAAGCACCGCCAACCGATGCAAAGTGTATCGAATAAATGCCAAGCAATGCCAAGCAACGCCAAGCAATAAAGAGCAATGCCAACCAATGCCAAGCAACGCCATGCAATGCACCCATACAATAAGATAATAAACGTATTCCATATGTGTTAGGACGAAGTCGAAAGCCAACGCGCCCATAGTGCCAAAACAGGGTGAACGGTGGCATCGCGGCCGATGCGTGCTCACATGCGCAGCGAAAGATGGAGAGCGGAGGGAGGGGGGAGGAGTGACGATGCGCGCAACGCATTTGTTACACCTTGCCATCGCTCGAAGTCCACTCCCCGCGCCCTGCCCAGCGTCTTGCGAGCTCCTTTTTGTCGCAGGATGGCCCAGGACGCCCCTCGCCGAGACAAAAATGCACACGTCCGAGCGATGCCAAGACACCAACACGCCTGGCCGTTGCCGCCCCGGGCCCTGCCATGGTCACGGTATGCCCGGACCCCTGGCCTCGTGCGAGCACGATCGCCACTGCGCCACCCTCGGGCCCAGAGCAGCCCTGGCCAGGCATGGCGGTATGTAGAGGCCTTCTGCGGAAGGGGGGGAGGGAGGGAGGGAGGCAGAGAAAGGACGAGGCAGTTAATAACAGGGCGCAGCGAAGCTGGACGGTGGACGTGGGAGGTCGGAGAGAAGAAGAGCGGGATGGGGCAGAAGCGGCGAGGGCAGAGGGTTAGCACGCCAGCGTCAAAGTCAATAGTTACCAGAAGCGTCGCCAGCTCCATTGACCAGAGTGTTCCAAAAATCTGCTCACACAGGCCCCACCCCGCCACGAGGCCCACAAGGTGGAAGACCGGGGAGAGCAACGGCAGCAGGGGGCCGAGGAAGGAACGACACCCGGGACCAGGACGAGCCCGGGCTGAAACGCGGCTGACACGGGCACGCAGGTCGGCCGACCTACGAACGTACCCGGGCCCAAACGGCGGCGGGAAGGGCAAGCACATTCAGGTTCCCGGAGAGCCTTCCGGGAGCCTGTAGGAAAAAGGGTGAGCTATGGCAGACCTACCCTTCGAGTCTGGGGGGAGGAGGCGGGACCAAACGACGAGGAACGGCACGGCGAGAGGAGAGGAGAGAGGAGAGGAGAGAGGAGGGGAGAGAGGAGGAGAGAGGAGAGGAGAGAGGAGGAGAGAGGAGGAGAGAGGAGGGAGGAGGAGAGGAAGCGAGGAGGAGGAGGAACGGCACGGCGAGAGGAGAGAGGAGAGAGGAGGAGAGGAGGGCGACGCCCGGCCGACCGCCCGAGGAGCGCGCGCAGGGAGGGGCACGAGCGCGGGCAGGAGCGGGGGGAGAGCGGGGCAGCCGAGGGGAGGAGGGCGGCGCCGCCACCCGGAGGGGGCGGCGGGCGGAGAAGCCGCGGCAGACCTCCACGGCTTCGCTCGGGCCGCGCACGCCCACGGCAACGAGCGAGGAGCGGCTGCCTGCCAGACCACCCCGACCCAACCCGAAGCCCCGAACTCGACCCGAATGTCGGGTTGCGGGGGGGTACGGGTTCCGTGTGTTTTCTCTCTGTCCCCCGACGTCCCCCCCCACTGGAAATCGAGGGTAAATTTGGGCGGTGAAGAAGACAGCCAAACCAAACCTGCCGACTGAGATCGACAGGCCGCAAAGCGACCCAGAAGGGCGCAGCGGCGCGGCGGCAGGAAATTAACCGACCGGACCGACGTGGCAGCCGAAGCGAGCGAACCGCGAACACCCATGTTAAACCCCCTGAAACAAATGGTAAAATCACACCTCTGGACGAGTGGCTGGCTATCCAACACCTCAACAGTGCTGTTGTTTGCATTTGGCGATTACTCCAGATTTCGTAATAAAGGGAGGGGGGTCTCATTTCGGGGGGGGTCTCTTCCAGGCTATCTTGGAGGGCCTGGGGGGGTCTGGGGACGATGTTTTGGAGGGTTCTCCCACGGGGGAGGTCTGAAATGGCTTGTCTTGGAGGGTCCAGACCCCCTCCCTTTTATTACGAAATCTGGAGTAAGCGAGCTCTGTCCGAACGTTTGAGGAGGAAGAGGAGAAAAGAGGGACAGGAGGAGAAGACGCAAAGGACGAGGAAGGAGAGGCTCAGGAGGCGGAGGCTGGAGAGGCGGGAGGAGGTTTAGAGGAAGGACGACGAAGGTGTGGGGCATGTCAATTCACGCTGGCTTGAGCATGCCGGGACCCCGTTGAGAGCCAGGCAAAGGCTCAACGGAAAAAGGAAAAAAAATAAAAAAAAATAAAGAGACAAAAACAAAAAAAAGCAAATAAGAAGAAGCACAAGAACACAGAAAAAACAAAATTCATAAAACGAGAGAAAGGCTCAAGGATTGCCCACGCATACGGCTCGCATTCCGGCCCACTGCGAGCCGGCCTTCTGGAAGAAGGCGATCGCTGGGGAGCGCACTCCCGCTCGGAAGAAAGTTGAATTCTGCACAGTGTGCCTGGAATCAACACAAAGGGAAGAAGGAGAGGAAGGGGGGACACGCCAAAAAATGTTAAGGAGGAGGAGATGTGGGCAGAGGCTGTGTTGTTGCAGGCGCTCCGTGCGTTGCTGGCGCAGCGCGCCGAAGACCTGCGAAGCGCCTGGGCACGCGGGGTGGGGCGGTGGCGACCAGAGCAGGGCAGGGCGAGGAGGGAGGAGGGAAGAGGAAAGGGTCCAGGACAAGGCAGGAGGGAGGAAGCAAGAAGCAGGACGCAGGACCCATCGGGCTGTGACCCATTGGGTTGGAAGGATTCAGACCTGTGCGGGTGCAACTTGTATGTTGCTTCGCGGTGTTGAAAAGTCCCAGAAATGACGTTCTGGCACGATTTCGGACCGTCAAGACGCAGCAATCAGGTTGATCCGTGGCGTTGGAATCCCGAGAGCAATGCTTTGGCATGCTTCAGGGTCTTCACACGGTCGTCTTCCAACAAGGTAGTTACGTCAATGCAAATGAACCGTTGAACGGGCATATGAAGAGGGAGCTTGGAGGGGGGGGGCGATTCCAACATCGTTGATGACCCTTTGGTTTGCACTCGTCCCCCGCCTCCTCCGCCTCCTCCTCTCCTCCTCCTCCGCCTCCTCCTCCTCCCTCCTCCTTCTCCTCCCTCCTCCTCCTCCTCCTCCACCTCCCACACCCCTCCTCCTCCCTCCCTCGAGCGCGTTTCTCTATTTCCGGCAATACTGGGCATGGGGGGCGGGGGGGCGGGGGGGGTATAATAACGCTGCCCCCCCGCCGTGTGGCTCCGGCACCACAGCCGCGCCCGCGCAAACGACGACGATGAGCGACGAGCGACGACGGCCACGACGTGAGCAGCATGTAGGTGGCGACCTGCCCCACAGCGCCTGCGTACACCATAATGCTCTCGTGCACCACAACGTTCAACGCGCGTGTACACCACAGCGCCTGCGTACACCGCAACAGCCGTGTGAGAAGCGACGCCTGTGTACACCACAGTGCTTGCGTGCACCACAGCGCCGGTGTACACCACAGCGGATGTGTAACACCGCAGCAACCATGTGCAACACAGCGCCTGTGTACACCACAATCCTTGCGTGCACCGCAGCGCCTGTGCACACCACAGAGCCTGTCTACACCACAGCATCCGCGTGCACGCAGCGCTGGTGTACACCACAGTGCCTGCGTGCACAGGACAGGTAGAACGAGCATGTAGGTGAGGATCCGCTGCGGACAGCTACACGCCACGCCAGGGAAGTGCTGATGATAGAATGCGACGTTATTCTTTCCTCCCTCGTCCGCCACCTCTACCTCCTCCTCCTCCTCCTCCTCCTCCTCCTCCTCCTCCTCCTCCTCCTCCTCCTGCTCCTCCTCCCCACCCCCTGCCACCCCCTCCTCCTCCCTCCCTCCTCCTCCCTCCTCCTCCCCTCGTCCTCGAGGCGGGCGGGGACGGAGCCCCGCCTCTGCCAGCAGCCCCGCCCGCAGCGCCGCCTCCCCGTCCTCGAGCAGGCGGCGTGCGGTCTCCTCAGGGCGCGCGTCGGTCGGCACCGCATCTCGGGAGCGTCCACGAGGGGGGCGGCCCACAAGGGGGTTCGCAAATCATGGTCCTCCTCCTCCTCCTCCTCCTCCTCCGATCGTTCGGTGGCAACTCACGGGAGCCTTCCATGCCATCTTGCTGGCTCGTGGTACTCGACGCGAATCGAGGCTCACCGACGCTCGTCGACGCTGAATCGATGCTCACTCGGCGCTGTCTCCTCGACTGCCAGACGCTAGCGCACGCTACTGCACATTAGACACAGAATAACAGGGACGTGCAAGGCTCCCACGCTTTGCTACCGAAGGAAGGTGCGCGGACGCACGGTCTCATGGGGGGGCGGCATCGGCTGGCACCGCATCGGGACATCGGACCGAGCCGGAAAGGCGCGCCGGTCGGGCCGCACTCAGTCGAAACACGGGCACAATAACGTCCATCTAGACCCTTCTATTTATCTTTATAGAGAGAAAAACAAAAACACAAAAAAACAAAAAAACTAATATTTTTTGTTTTTTTGTTTTTTTTTTTATTTTAAAAAAAAAAAAAAAAAAAAAAAAAAAAAAAAAAAAAAAAAAAAAAAAAAAAAAAAAAGCCCTCAGCCGCCGAGGGTCCAAGTCCCCACGAAGGCACGCCGAACGACGGCCAGTCCAGGGTGCAGAGCCCGAGCACGAAGAACACCCAGGTGGACACCGAGGGGGTCGGCACATCGTGGCCCGAGGCAGGCGAGAAGACGAGCGGGGGAACCATGAGACCCCTCCGCCTCCTCTTCCTCCTCCTTTCCTCCTGCCCTCCCTTCGTCCTCCTCCTCCTCCCCCTCCTCCTCCTCCTCCTCCTCCTCCTCCTCTCCTCCCCCTCCCCCTCCCCCCCCCCTCCTCCCCCTCCCCCTCTCCCCTCCCCCTCCCCCTCCCCCTCCCCCTCCCACCTCACCCCTCGCCCCTCTCCCCTCCCCCCCCCCTCCCCCTCGCCCCTCCCCACCCCCTCCCCCCCCCCCCCTCCCCACCCCCTCCCCCCCTCCCCCTCCCCCTCCCCCTCCCCCTCCCCTCGCCCCGCCTCCCCCTCACCCCTCCCCCTCCTCCTCCTCCTCCTCCTCCTTCCTCCTCCTCCTCCTCCTCCTCCCCTCCTCCTCCTCCTCCTCCTCCTCCTCCTCCTCCTCCTCCTCCTCTCTCCTCCTCCTCCTCCTCCGCCGCCGCCGCCGCCGCCGCCGCCGCGCCGCCGCCGCCGCCTCCGCCTCCGCCCTCGCCTCCGCCCCGCCTTCCGCCTCCGCCTCCGCCTCCGCCTCCGCTCCGCCATCTCCCGCCTCCGTCCCATCCGCCCTCCGCCTACCGCCACCGCCACCGCCGGCGTCCGCCTCCGCCTCTCCTCCTCCTCCTCCTCCTCCTCCCCTCCTCCTCTCCTCCTCCTCCCCACTCCTCCTCCTCCTCCTCCTCTGCCGCCGCCGCCGCCGCCGCCTCCTCCTCCTCCTCCTCCTCCTCCTCCTCCTCCTCAGAGACTGTGGCACACCCTGCACGCCCCCTCAGGGTGGAGGGGCTCCCCACCCCCCCGAAGGCTGCGTCTGGGAAACGGCCTGGCGGCCAGTGGTCTGCGGTTCCCACCACATCCGGGGCTCGGCCGATCGCTGCGCTGCTGCGTGAGAGGGACATGCTGAGCGAAGAGGGAGCGGGGGGACCACGAGAGGGCGCCGATCGCTGCGCTGCTGCGTGAGAGGGACATGCTGAGCGCAGAAGTGAGAATCACGAGACCCGAGGAGATATCACGGTCCCTGCAAGGGGACCCTGCGGGGGTAGGCGGGCGGCGGCCGCCCAACTCCGCCAGGGCGAGGACTCCACCATCACACTCCACACAGATAATCCTCCTCCTCCTCCGCCGCCTCCTCCTCCTCCTCATCATCATCATCCTTTCCTCCTGCCCTCCCTTCGTCCTCCTCCTCCTCCTCCTCCTCCTCCTCCTCCTCCTCCGCCTCCGCCTCCGCCTCCGCCTTCTCCT